TTACCTGGTAAAATACAAATAAAAACGTTGAAATAGTTTAATAATTAACCGTCTTAGATTTGAGAAATGCTCTTAAACGATGCTCTTTCGGGAAAGCGGTGGCGAGCGCTGCTCCTCTCTCCTGTGCGACGTTTCGCCTCCCATGTTGGAGCCATCATCAGGATCCTCGAGGCATCCTCAGGATGCCTTCCATCTTCAAAGGGCATTTCTTATATACAGCGAGCTCTGACAACCTAGGTCAATGTAACATCTCAGACGGCGGTCACAACAAATTTAATTAACTACTGTATACGAAATAGCATAAGTTACCAAGAAACGTTGGATTTCATTTCTATAAAAGCAATCCAACCCTGCTCTTGCCCACACATCTCATGTTTCTGTGCTTCTCTATACTTTGATTCCGGTCTTGCTCAGCTCGTTTAAACAAACGACTACTGTGTGTGTACACACACACACAGATGCAAGACCATTATGATACTGAACATACACCAACCGGATTTGCTGCACAGTACATTAAAACCTTGGATTGCGAGTAGCTTGGTGTGCGAGTGTTTTGCAAGACAAGCAAAATGTTTTAATAAATATTAATTTGATAAACGAGCGAGGGTCTTGCAATACGAGTGGTGCGTGTATACGCTTTGTCTGCGGAGCGTCACGCGATCACAACTGATATACGAGTGCTTTGATGTACGAGTGCTTTGGATTGCAAAACACGTTTCCGGAACGAATTATGCTCGCAATCCAAGGGTTTACTGTACATTGCCAAACTGTCACCTTTGTGAAGGAAATGCCCAAGTGCAAATGGGAACAAACAATAATCCCTCAGATGATCCTTATGGTGGTACCCCGAGGTAACCACCATAATACAAAACGGCCGAGGCAAATAAACATTTTATTTCTGGAACACTATTTTTTCCAGGGGTGTTACTTAACTCCGCGACAGGGGTACCAATCAGTCCGAAATCGGTGCCACTTCACGATGTCGAAACGCAGCGAGGACGATAGCGCTGAAACCCTGAACGCTCGCGTATGCACCATCGTGCATCGTATACAGCTCGTCGAGATGAGTCGATTGCCGCATCACCGACCATCAACAGACAACAAATTACTGCATCACGGACATTATGCGAGAGCCGGGGTACAGTGGTACCCCGGGGTACAGCCATAAGGTTCAAATGAACAATATTTCAAACCATTTATTTATTTTACCAAGTAAGGCCCCACTGAGCTACGTAGCTATTTTTCATAAGCGACCTTGCTATCACAAATGATAGCTCGAACGAAGTGGTTTATCGTCACGTAGAAATGTTAATCACAGCCAAATACTAAATATATTTATTCATATTATACCCAAAAAGTTAACACAACCCATTTCCAGGTTCGAATTGAAAACTTGTCACGCATTCAGGTTGGAAATCCCCCACGACCTTGCGTTGGCGGATGGAGGCCTTCATGCAGCTGTGGACTTACAAACGACTGGAATGAGTGTTAGACGCTTTAAACACCGCTGCCTGGGTTTAAACACGTAGGCTTTTGCGACCAATATCATCCATAATGGGTTAGAACGCGAAAAATATAAAAGGTGTCGTGAAACCCGCCACCACCCGACACAGCCAATTAGTAAGGTTTGTCACGTAAACAGAACGTGTCAATTCCTTACTAACACAGCACACCGGTGTGTTGGAAAGTAAACTGTCAACATTTACAACTCGAGTACCATTAAGTTTCCCCGGTAATTACAACCAGCAGCATCAGGCAACATCTAGAACTGTGGAGAAATCCTCCTGTTTCGTTCCTTAAACAGAGGGATAGATGTGATTACGTCACTGGTGGGCCCTTCTTGTGCTGCCTAGATCAACACGAGACGTTTTGTGTTTTAATTAAACGCTGTATAAACTTCAGGCTGTAATTAGCACCATTGTTATATATACAAAATAACGGTTTCTCTCCCCCTCTACTGTACCCGAAAAAGACCAATTCCCCGAAACGTTATCTCACTACTATACTTTCAGCTAGAAAAGGGTATCACAACCACAGCCATAAACTTCTACCACAGGTGTCGTAGTCTGGTTCTGCGAGCCCCAGATATTAACAGTGAATGAAACAGGATTATCCAGTTGCCTTGTGGTCTGGGCTCGCGAAACTTAAGCGAAAGTGTTTTTATTTGACCAGGTAAGGCCCACCCGAGCTATGCATCTCTTTTTCAGAAGCGACATGGCTACAAATGATAGCTCATCTAAGTGGCTTATCATCACGTAAGAATGTATAGCAGCCAATACTCTAAAGGCGTGATGTTGATGCTTAAATCTGGAGGGGGAAAATCTGGTGGACCCGGAGAAAAATCCCCCACGACCACGGGGAGAGAAACACGCAAACTCAAAATATACAGCAGCAGGCGTCAGGGTCGGGGGGGTCGAACCCACGACCTCCTGCATACCTTGCGAGGTAGTTAACATCTCCTAGCCACCGTGATGATAATGAGAGGGAGAGAGAGAGACACGCAAACTCAAAATATACAGCAGCAGGCGTCAGGGTCGGGGGTCGAACCCACGTACTCCTGCATACCTGGCGAGGTAATTAACATCTCCTCGTCACCGTGATGATAATGAGAGGGAGAGAGACACGCAAACTCAAAAATACAGCAGCAGGCGTCAGGATAGGGATCAAATCCACGATCTTCTGCATACCAGGCACAGTAGTAAACCTATCCTCCCCACTGCGGGCCCTTGGCATTAACACAATACATACTGTACCCCAAGAATGCAAAGTGTGGCTCTATGAGCATTATACAGTACAAACAATACACCGGTCAGGACCTCTTAAATATGCCTTGCTCTGGTTACGTGGCATACATACTTAAGATACTTAAAGTTGGCTTAGTACGTCTCTATGAGCCACGGGAATTATGAACAACACGAATCCTAAGAATCCAATAAATCGCCTCGCATTGGCTCCTAGAGTCTCTCAACAATTGACAATGAACCGTGAGATTCCTCACCGTGCCTTAGTATGGCCGAGAACCACTCCTTACATTAACATTGACTCCCTAAGAATCCGTCAAAAGTGCCTCAGCCATTAAAATCTGAACTCTTGAGATTTCCAAATTTTTGTGTGCGTTTATTGTTGTTCTCAAATTGGCCGCGTCGTACTGCTGGAATTAACCGAAAGGCTCTGGTGTAATACTCTCTTATAAAAGTCCAGCGTTCCGTTTGTCCGTCAACTAAATGATGAGAGCCTTTAACAGAAGGCTTGAATCAAAAAGTTATAGAAAGTGGACCCAGATGTGTGTGGGGGGGGGGGGGGGGGTAAAAAGTTGATCCAACAGATTTCCAACAATTGTCGGCCCCACAACCACCAACAAAAAAAGAAATGTATTATGTAGGCATATGCGGCGAAATTCTAGCGAGTTTAATAAACAGCGGATGTATTTATTAAAGTTACAGTACAGCGATGGCATACCAGTCAACCCCTTATCAGTGCCTACTTTATTACAGGCCAATTAGTATCTTATTGGTCACCCGTGTCCCTTATAAGTCTCAACGTTAACCCAACAAAGTCCCATCACAAGGAGATAAACACAAACAAATATACTGATATATGATTATTATTTTTGCCTGTAATTAAACGGCTGTACGCCGTATGGACCTGAAAACTCAATTTCCCTGTACAAGAACACTGGATAAACCACATGGGTTTACACGGTTGTGATATGGCAACGGCCCATCGAACACACAACAACTTGTAGTCCCCAACAGAGGTTGTTGTTGTTTTGGCGAGGGGGGGGGGTGTTGTGTTAGATCGCGTAAATATATCACAGTGGGTCTTTAAATCCGCCACCGACACGGCCAATGTATTATAGAGAGGGGGGGGGGGGAGGTGATCACGTAACACAACGCGCCAATTTGTTATAGTCCACCACGTGTCCAGCTCGAGTAACAACCAAACAACAACCATACAAACAACAACCATACAAACAACAACCAGCATCGTCAGGCGACTACTTATCAACCATAGAGATTTTTTTTGCGGGGGGGGGGGGTCCATCGCGTAAAAATGCGTCGCTGAACCGGCCACCACCCGACCGGAAGCCAGCGAGTCAAGGTTAGTGTCAACGTCGACAGAACGTGACAATTCGTTACGCGTACAGCACCACCCGGCCCGAGTTTCGACGTTTCGCCGCCAGGAACCACAACGCGCTTCGTCAGGGGACGCAGCCAATGTTTGCATACTGCTCGACGTGTTAACAACGCCACTTGTTACACTCTATAGAGAGAGAGAGTCAAGGAAGGGCGGTCTGGATCCTTCTTCCTCCTCCTCATTTCATGCGCACCTGAGTCACGGACCACGCGCGCCGCGTTGTTGTTGTTCTATACCCGCGCGCTCACCCTCACTCACACTGACTCACTCGCCACTCACACTCACCCACTCTCACCCTCACCCACACTCACTCACTCACCCACCCTCGCCCACCCTCACCCACCCTCACCCACTCGCCACTCACCCTCACTCACCCTCGCTACTCAACCTCACTACTCACCCTCACTCACTCGCCACCCACGCTACTCACCCACCCTCGCTACTCACCCAACCACTCACTCACCCTCACACTCACTCACTCGCCACTCACCCACCCTCGCTACTCACCCTCACCACTCACCCTCACAATTCGATCCATCTCTCGATGCGCCCGCGTGAAGCCGCCGTTCACCTGCCGACGCCTGCGTTAGCCCGCACCCGGCCGTTCAATTGCGTCGCCCGTGCCAGGCTAGGTGCACTCCCGATGCCACGCGCGAAAGTGCAAATGCGGCAGCGATAAAGGCGGGGGAATTTCAAACTTTTAAAATTATCGCGACCCACACCGCGGCAGACGCCCTTCTCCACGAGTCTTACAACCTTCTGGTAAACACGGACGACAACAACAACGACAAACAAACAACAACAACCAGCCTCGTCAGGCGTTCTCGCTTGGCACGGCACGGGTAGCGGTGGTGGAAAAGCACCTGAGGCGGTCAGAACGACGGCGAGCAGAGCCCAGGCGAAGGCGCTGGAACCCCGGGTCCGCATGTTGGCAACACGCGAGTGAGGGGAGTTGGTGAGGGGAGTTGGTGGTGGCGAGGTCGGGGGAGATGAGGAAACGATAGCCCGAGGAGGGAGAAGGTAAAACTTGGGAAAGGCACAGGCGGCAACGGCGCTGGCGGCGCACGGTAGCAGTGGAGAGGTGAGGGTGATGGTGATGGCGGGAAAATCGGAAAGCCGCGGATGGGTTGGTGAGGGGTGGGGGTGCTGAGAAGAGGGAGCTCTGAGTGGGGCCGCCGCGGGTGGGAGCTTATATAGGGAGGGGGTGGAGGTCGTGACGTCGAGCTCGAAGCGCCGCCCACAGCGTTGCGTGGGCGGGGCTTCCAGCCTGACGTGGGTGAGTGGGTCAGTGAGTGGGTGAGTGGATGCATGAATGAGTGGGTGAGGAAGTGGGTGAGTGGGTGAGTGAATGAGTAAGTTGGTGAGTGGGTGAGTAAGTGGGTGAGTGAGTGGGTGAGTGAATGAGTGGGTGAGTAAGTGGGTGAGTGGGTGTGTGGGTGAGAGGGTGAATGAGTGGGTGAGTGAATGAGTGGGTAAGTGAATGAGTGGGTGAGTAGGTTAGTGGGTGAGTGGGTGGGTGAGTAAGTGGCTGAGTAAGTGGGTGTGTGGGTGGGTGAGTGGATGAGTGAATGAGTGAATGAGTGGATGAGTGAGTGAATGAGTGAATGAGTGGATGAGTGAGTGAATGAGTGGGTGAGTAAGTGAGTGAGTGGGTGAGTAAGTGGGTGAGTGGGTGTGTGAGTGGGTGAGTGAATGAGTGGGTGAGTGAATGAGTGGGTGGGTGAGTGATTGAGTGGGTGAGTGAGTGAGTAAATGGGTGAATGAATAAATGAGTGTATGAGCGAATGAGTGGGTGAGTGAGTGGGTGAGTGAGTGAATAAGTAAGTGAGTGGGTGAATTAGTAAGTGAATTAGTGTGTGAGTGCATGAGTGAGCGAATAAGTGAGTGGGTGAGTAGATGAGTTGTTTAATTAGTGAATGGGTGAGTCTGCGAATGAGTGGGTGGGTGATTGAGTGAATGAATGAGTAGTTGCGTGAATGAGTGAGTTTCAAGTTTATTGCGTTTCACCAGGTGGGAAACTCAAGACAACAGGGATAAGAGACGTATTTGCAAGAGTGGCCTGGGTTATGGCCATAAGAACAATCAAGTGCACCAATGACAGCGAATAGAAATGGAAGAAAAAACAACAGTTTCACATTAGATTTCGAAATCACTGCACAAAGGTGAATCAATGTTAAATAATAACATTCCATGTAGCGTGAGTCAGCAAAGGGAAATTATGTTTATATTGATCATCGCTAAAATTACAATGAAGTTACAGATACATTAAACAGATATAGGGTGCTTAATATAAAAATTATAAGCCAAAACGTTAACATAACCCATTTCCAGGTTCCAATTGAAAACTTGTCACGCATTCAGGTTGGAAATCCCCCACGACCTTGCGTTGGCGGATGGATGCCTTTATGCAGCAGTGGACTTAGAAACGACGGAAATAAGTGTTATACACTTTAACACGTAGGCTTTTGCGACCAATATTATCGATAATATGGGTTAGATCGCGTAAATGTGGCCTTAAACCCGCCACAGTCAATTAGCAAGGTTTGTCACGTAAACAGAACATAGCAATTCGTTACTAGTGTAGTGACGCACTCAGAGACACTAGGAATAGGAGGCACTCTATTTATTAACAGCCTTCACAAGTTACAAGGGGTAACTACACTCTCAGTCAGGACAGCTGGCAGACTGCCTGATTGACGATAAGGTGAAGACGTTGATGAAGACTCCAGCAGCCCGACGGGATTCCACTCCAAGCAACAACCCCGAACATTCGCTCGGGGTCCCCTTTTATCCTCCTGGCATGGCCTCGCTCCGCCCCAGCCACGCCCCCCTTCTAGAACCTACTCGCGGTTTCCAGGGATTACCTAACATGCCCCCTCTATCACCTTTCCCCTGCATGCCTCTCTTTGCTTATCACGTGACCTGCTGACAGACAGGGCTGCTGCAACTGCAGATCCCCTTCTCTGCCAGTAACCCCGCACTATGCTACGTAGTTTAACATGTAGGCTTTCGCGACCAATATTATTCATAATAAAAGTTTTTGGGTTAGATCGCGTTATTTATAAATGTGTCGTAACCCTCCACCACCCGACACGGCCAATCAGAAAAAAAGTTTCACGTTGACAAAAGACAAATAATTCACTACTTTAGCCCACCGGTGTGTTGAAGAGTGAATCCACAACATTTACAGTTTGAGTACGACATTTCGCTAGCCCACCGGTGTGTTGAAGAGTGAATCCACAACATTTGCAGTTTGAGTACGACATTTTGCTGGTAATTACATCCAGCATCATCGGGCAATTCGCCAGAATGGTAAAGCCCTCACTTGCTCCCGGTCTTAAATAGAGCAGCAGGGTGACGTCATCATTTAACTCATTCAGGTGCAGTGATTTGAGGCGGAGGGGGGTATTGTAATTATATAATCGATTGGTAATCAATCAATGGTTATGATTAGTAATGAGTTGTAGATTAGTATTTAGTTGTAATGTGTGTTATTGTGATTATATGCTACATAGTGACCCATTCCATGTCACTACACTAGTACAGCACACCAGTGTGTTGGAGAGTTAATCCACAACATTTAAAATCTGAGGAAGACGTTTCGCCAGTAATTACAATCGGCATCATCAGGTGACGAACAAAAAAAAACATATATTATGGATAAAATTGGTCGTGAAAGATCTAGGGTGACTAATATACCCATACGTAACCAGACAAGGATACATGTCAAATGCAATTTCATATTCTTTACTGATGAATTCATAAATGTGTCCAGGAAGGAGTCACTAAGCGGGCTATGCTCCTGCAATGACGACTTGACAAACTTCTCTTGAGATGGCACTTTATTGAAGACACGTTCACTTGACATCAGGCAGAGACCCCACCGCAACAGCTCCGAGTCTCCCGTGCATCTCCCGTATATACCGACCGAGGCCACGCCCCCCTTCTCGATCATTCTCGTCGACTCTGGATGCTCGCTCTACCGGCAGACTCCACCGTCGCCTGACCACGCTCCCTTCTCGAACATTCCCGTAGCCACCATTCCCTTCGCACTCACAACTGACTCCCCTGTCATTACCTCCTATGGCCACCGGTCCATTCACACTCACAACTGATACCCCTGTCATTACCTCCCGTGGCCACCATTCCCTTCACACTCACAACTGACTCCCCTGTCATTACCTTCTGTAGCCACCAGTCCCGTCGCACTCACAACTGATACCCCTGTCATTACCTCCCGTAGCCACCAGTCCCTTCACACTCACAGCTGATACCCCTGTCATTACCTCCGGTAGCCACCAGTCCCTTCGCACTCACAACTGACTCCCCTGTCATTACCTCCCGTAGCCACCGGTACCTTCACACTCACAACTGATACCCCTTTCATTACCTCCCGTGGCCACCATTCCCTTCACACTCACAACTGACTCCCCTGTCATTACCTTCCGTAGCCACCAGTCCCGTCGCACTCACAACTGATACCCCTGTCATTACCTCCCGTAGCCACCAGTCCCTTCACACTCATAACTGATACCCCTGTCATTACCTCCGTTAGCCACCGGTACCTTCGCACTCACAACTGATACCCCTTTCATTACCTCCCGTAGCCAACAGTCCCTTCACACTCACAGCTGACACCCCTGTCATTACCTCCGGTAGCCACCAGTCCCTTCGCACTCACAACTGACTCCCCTGTCATTACCTCCCGTGGCCACCGGTACCTTCGCACTGACAACTAATACCCCTGTCATTACCTCCCATCGCTACAGTACTAATAATGCGGTGACCACAATGCAACAGGGTTACCCACAATAGTGAGGGTGGTCACGTGACGTCGCGACCACGCCCACGGCGCTACCTCGCGACCACGCCCACGGCGCTACCTCGCTCTGCCTTCTGCCCTGACTTTTGTCCAATCGGTGTCTCGATCGCGCTCTCCCGTCCCCCCCCCACTCCCGCCCTCGTTTGGCTACGCCCACTCAGCATCGCCCCTCCCCCTCCGGAGGTTACAGATGGGCTGTTCTGTGACCTTAATCACTGCTAAAATTTGATATTTTTGTGCCAGTATCAAAGTATGAAAATAAAATAAAAGGTGTCACCCTTTTCTGATAGTTCGCTGTCTTTGTACTGCTCGCCTTTTGGCGTTTTCTGCTTTGACACTGGTGAGACTAGGCCCTAAAGAAGGCCAGATCTGGTGTAGGCCAATCAGTTTCAAAGACAATGCCGTACATATTTAGAGCATTAGAATATGGGACCCTTCTTGCCAGTAACAAAATACAAGAATAGGTTTAACCCTTTCTGGTGATAAAACGGAAGGTGTTAAGATGTTAAAACACCAAAAATAAACATTTTGCGAGGAGTCCTGTCCGCATTAACCACACAAGGTACTTGTGGTGATCACGCAAACAAACAAACAAAAAACACGCTCTGCAGATAATATATCCATGGTGTGGACCAATAAGTTTCAAAGACAACGCAAATATGATTAGAGAATGTTTGTGTTTGTATGTTCACCACAAGTAACGTGTGGTTAGGGGCCGTCCATAAATGACGTCACGCGATTTTTGACGATTTTTGACCCCCCCTTGGTCACACGGCGTCACAAAAAGGCAGACCCCCCCCCACTCAAATATGACGTCACAAAGCTCTGCCCCCCCCCCCACAAAATAAAACATGCTTCAAATCGCTTTAAACTATTGTCATTGTAGTGCGTGTTTAATGTGGCGCTGCACTCTGATGTTGTAGAAGAACACATTCATTAAAAAGTCTATTCAATTAAGTTAGAACGTGTTGTCTATATTTATTTAAAGTTGCGCATTTTGATGTGACGTCACATTTCTCAACCCCCCCTCCGCCCCCCCCCCCCCCCATCGTCACACATCGTCACAAATGTCTGACCCCCCCCCCCACCCCTAGGTGCGTGACGTCATTTATGGACGGCCCTTTAATGCAGACAGGACTCCTTGCAAAATGTTTCTGTTTGGTGTTTTAACATCTTAACGCCTCCTGTCTTGTTCACAGAAAGGGTAAAACCTTAATATCGGTTTGTTTGTTTTTCCCCCCTGTTAGATCGCGTTAATATAAATGTGTCGTTCAACACGTCACAGCCAATTAGTAAGGTTTGTCACGTAAACAGAACGTGTCAATTCGTGATGAGTACAGCGCACCGGTGTGTATATTGG